GCCTTCCCGTGCCAAATACGTGACCGCAGCAAGTTGCGTGTCCCAGGTCAGGCCAAACAGGAGGAGGTCTGGGAGCAATTCAGCTCTACATGGCCGCGGGGAGCAGCAGGGAGCCTAGCTGGGTGCAGAGCTGCAGCGACGCAAACGCAGGGCAGGAAGTGGGGAAGGGGGGACGGGTTGTGGCGTACAAACCTCCATGCTGGAGTTAAAGGCTCGGTTCACCTTGGCTTCGATGTTGACCACTTGCCCAACGCTGCAAAAAGCAACAGGAAGGAAGCGTTAGGGGGATCAGTGGGACCGGCCCCTGTTTATAAAGCAGTTCAGCCAGGGAGCATCTTCCTCAGGTTCCTCCTTCAGCCTTGGGCCTGAGCCCACAGGGCAGCAGCAGCAGGCAAGGACCAGGGCAGGTCTCCTCGAGGCCGGAGCTGCAGCCCATTCCCTTTGCTGGCGAGAGATACCAGGCACAAACGGCGCAATTGCGGGTAGTAGCACGAGGAGCCTCCTTGGAGCCTCATGCAGCAGCACTACTCAAGCTGCTCCTCCTCCAAGGCCACGCTTACCCCCCTTCTCACCTTCAGTAGGCTTCAGAGTGAACACACAAGCAACGTTAGCTCTGCGGCCGTTTCTACTCTAATTGACACTGATTAAATGAACAGATGCAACTCATTATTAAGTGAAGGACGCCCCTCATCCTGTAAAGGAGATCCATGCTATGGCATTAAGCAGCAGAGCTAGGCTGGCAGGAGACATTAGCGGGGCTGTGCAGCAGCCCGAGCCCGCGGGGTTAGCGCTGCCCGCGCCGGGTTAGCAGCTCTGCAGCCACACGGGGTCACACGTCCGTACCCGACGCTGCTCATCCCCTGCGGCCGCCCAGGAGCGCGTTTATACCTAGGGCTGGTGCGGAGAGAAAAGCGAGAGACCGGCAGAGCCGTCAGCAAGGGGCGAGAGGGTCCCCGCGGGGCCGCTGCTGCAGCAGGAGCTGAAACCGGGTGGGAGAGCAGCAGGATTTATCCCCGGGGGTGTAGAGGAAGGTGGGATCCCGGCGCAGCAGCGGCAGCGGCTCCGTCTCGGGGAGGAGTGGGGGTGAGCGCGGAGCGGGCCGGGCTTTGCGGCGCGGGGGCTGCCAGGCACTGCCCGTGTTGGCACCTCAGGGCCAAACCTGGCGGGTTTCACCCCAGAAATCTGCAGGCCTCAGCTGGCACCCTGCCTCCCTCCAAAGCACAAGCCATGCAGGGCTGGAGCATGGAAAATGAGCCGGCAGCCTCCTCCTGTGCCGCTGAGCCCTCCGGCAAGGATGGGGTCGGGCACTTCCTTAGGGAAATGGGGACACTCTGTCCAAAGGGGGAGCCAACTGGTTCCTGCGCGCAGAGGCCGTGGTAGAGACGGCACCGCGGTCGCTGCGCGTCCCTTGGCGTCCCTGTCGGTGCTGTGCCAGGGCTGTCCGCTCTCGCCAGCGCCACGGCCCAAACTGTGCTGACCTGCCTGAGCTGTCACCTCCTCCGGGCGGGCCAAGAAGGCCGGGCCTTCGCCCCGGGGCCGGGTGCATTGCACCAAGAGGCCCCACGATCCCCCCGGAGCCCCAGCGAGCTCCCGGGGAGACCAGCAGGAGGGTGCCCGTATTCCAGGGAACCCCGAACCCTCGGCAAGAGCCGCTCGCCACGCCACGCGGGCGCCCCTACCTGATGGTGTGCTCGAAGTAGATGTCGTCCATGGAGGCGGTGACGCAGGGGCAGCCCGCGTGCCGCT